GGCTGCAGACAGAGAGAGAGAGAGAGAGAAGAGAGGAGGTGGATGTGGGGGTCTCAGTCTGCGGTGAGGGATGTGGGTTCCGGGGCTCCTATCCCATCCGGCACGCCCTCCTCCTCCTCCTCCTGCTCATCTCTCAATCCGCCAAAAGTGACAGCAAAGGGTCTGAACTCCGCGGATGGGGGAGTGGGGCTGACTCACTCATTAACCCCCCATGCTTTAAAAAAAAAATACTAAATAAAAAAAAAGGGCAATATTCCGATGGACTGAAAAGGAGAGGGGGATAAAACCAAGCGCGCAGATCTGGCTACAGACGCATGTTGGATGAGTCTCTGCAGCAGATGCGGATGCAGAGGGAGGAGGAGGAAGCAGCAGCAGCCGCGGAGCCGCGCGCGCGCACACATACACACACAAACACGTGCGCGCGGACAGCAGAGGAGAAGGCGCGAGGCGCTCCCATAGACACACCCCAGGGAGCCATGAGATCCACGGGGGGAGGTAGGAGGAGAGGACACACACCCCACCCCATAGCGCGCGCGCCCCCTCCCTCCTCGTCCTCCTCCGTGAGCAAACACACCAAACAGCAGGGTTTCTAATTTATGAGCGTGCTTCAACTTAATACTTCCGGGGGGCAGTGGATGAATCCTTTATTTTATACTTCAGCAGGGACTTACAGGCTTTAGGATGAAAGACGGATCTGTTTTATGAGCAGTGATGTCCAACTGTGACAGGAAACCCAGCGAAGGTTGTCATGTGGCAAATATTTGCCAAGAATAGATGTTTATGATTAAGAAATTTGTTACACTGAGAGTTAAAGTCAGCAAACTGTCTTGTTGGTCTTATGGAAAGATTGTTTTATTGTTTAAAACAGATTTTARGTGTTGATTTCTTTTAACATTATTTTTTATTGAACATGTTTGAACTTACAACAGCTCAGCATAAACAGACAAAAGTACACACCCATACGGTAGGCCTACAGCTAATAGTAAAAGTTCTTGTTTTTATGGGCAATTTAGATTTTCCAAATTCTTGTAGCTGTTTTACTTTTTATAACTTAATAAAATACCTAAATTTGTTATCAGATAACCATGAAATACCCTAAACCAGGGGTGTCCAAAGTATAACCCAAGCCATTTGTGACCCTCGGAGCAACTGATTTAAGAATGATATCATTTTGGTCCATAGACTTTAAAAAAATGATGCAGACGCAAGCAAAAAGAAAACAAACATTTTCAGTTTTCCAGAACAATAGACTTTTGTGTAACCATTCCTAAAACTTAGCTAAATATAGTGGTCGTTGTTGAGGTAAAATGCATTCTCTTGATTTAAAAAGTGAAAGAGGGATGTTGGACTTTGTTGAGGTCTCTTCTAACCCTGTGAATCTGTTTTAGCAACTGCCAGCTAATCTGCTTTATTTTTTTGTCACTCTATTAGAACGAGCCTTTATTCTTTCGTCATTTGGGTCCAGAAGTTTTTTTTTTTTTTTTTACTCAAACTCATCCAATGAAAACTGAAAATTTTTCTTCAAGGGTCTACCACCAGGCTGCTCAATCTCTTTTAAGCAAATTTAAAAAAAACTGACTCATAAGCACTCTATCCCTGAGAATAAACCTAAAAAGTAATTTCTAATCCCTCCCACCACCATCCACCTCCCCACCCCACAGTAGACACAATGGGCCTCATGCAAGAACCGTTAGTACGCACAGATTTGTTCTTAAGTTGTGAGTGATTTAGGAGAATTTGTGGCATTCACCAATGTTTTCGTATTCTAAGATTTTTTTCAGATACGAACAAAATTCACGAGTGGTCCAGACCTGTCGTGTATTTTACCAGCAGTCAGTCTGCTGTTATCCAGATGGGTTTTCTTCATTAATAACTTTATATTTCATTAGTTTGAAGATATTTTGAGTTGAAAATAAATCACACTCCATAATTATGTTGACAATAGGCTATTCTGCTTGAATTAGAGTTATAATTTTGAATGTAATAATTTAGTCTAACAATATAAATTGTCCATCCAGCCGGCTTATCCGCTATCGGGTGCGGGGGCAGCAGGAGACCCCGCTCTCCCCAGCGACACTTTCCAGCTCGTCCTGGGGGACTCCGAGACGTTCCCAGACCAGAGGAGGTACATAATCCCTCTAGCAAGTCCTGGGTTTTCTCCAAAGTGCCAGACTTATTTTGAAAACATTTTAAAATGCTTATTTCAAACCCGCATCTGAGACCACCTGCAACCGCGCAGCGCGCGGGGGGGTACGGTGCGCAGCGCTGTGTCTTCTGAATAAATGAAAATGATTTAACACAGTTGTTAGCAGCTGTTTTTATCCCACAGCTGAGCTGCTAAAAATGACAGATTTTCTTTTCTGGATCTCTGACAGACGGACTTCAATCTCTGAACTAGTAAAGTTCTTTTTAATTATCGCTGTCATTTTCATGAATGAACACTTCCTTGTATCTGAGGCAGGAAACATAGCCTTATATGGTGTTTTTGGGGTGGTAATTATGCTAATCTCATATTGCATATGTAAATATTGTATAAATATTTATACCACCATCAATTTGACTTTAAACAGCTATATTCCTTCAAATTGAGGTCATTCCAAAAGCTATCTGCAACAGGTAAGATAATAAATGTTCATAACCTTTTGACAAAAGCCCACAAGTGCTCAAAATTTGACCTCTGATTGATTGTGGCCAATCATCTGTTGGTCAAATCAGGATGAATAATAACGTGGTTTAAAATGAAAATATGTAATTTCATTTATTAAAGTTTCMCTTTTAAATGCCCTTCTATTACTTCAGTAGTAAAGATTTTAAAAAAAYGGTCACGTTTTCAATGAGGTTTGGTTCATGAAGTGTTAATGACACATTTAGATGCCACTGGATCAAACAAGTGTCCCAAATATTTTCAGAGAGCACTAAATTTAGCCATTTTGTTGGATGTAGAAGAAAGAAACAGACAAGATAGTCTGACTTTCYGTGGGTTGTGGCTCTAAGAAAGGCTCAGAATGTATTTGAGGATGTCATCTTCTTTGATGCGATATTAAAATCAKTGTAGTGTTAAATACAAGGCAAAAACTTGGATATAACCACAAAATGTGGCTAGGATCAATGCATCTGGCGTAGAAAAGGTGACAGTAAAAAATAAAAAAAAAACAGGTGGGAAAGAGAGTGAAAGCAGATACCAGCTTTTCTTCAAAAATCTGTTATATATAAGTGTCTTCAACATACAGTTTAAGATCCAAAACGSTACAATTTGTGCTCTGCAGCTCCACCAAGATCATTTGTTACGGCCTTAAATACTCGTRGCTCACGGCAAGTAATGTCGCTATATTTCCAACTCACACTCCACAAATTACACCAAAATTAGGCCGTTCTCACAAAAAACAATTTGCATTCTACCCTAAGGTTGATTTCTCAATTGATTTTCATAAAAAAAGGRAAAAAAAACAGGAAACRATGAACATATTTGAAGCTTTATGACATCTTCATGCTTATTCAAATTTTCACACAGATCCCATTTTTCATTAGGGGTTTTGCTAATGTGCATGGCAAAGCCTGACTGCATTGTTTACTGCTTCAGGAGTACAGAGCTAATGTCCCACTCTGATGATTCCTTTGAACTTGACAGGCTGTTGACAGTCATTCCCTCCCAGGATATTTTTTATTATTTTTTTTCCTGCTCCCTTTACCCCTCTAAAGCATTTGAAGATGCTTAAAAATAGTCAAAACAGTGAAATTTTGCCTTCAGTTGTAGAAAACCTGATGTTTTCCTTTTTTTGTGAAGAAGATGGAGAAAAGTTTCTTTGCTCTGGAGTCTAAATGATTGTCAAACAAAGAACAGTTTCGCTTTCAATATTCAAAAAAGCTTCTTAGTTTATTTTTAAAAAGTATCACTGAGTCAGTTTTGAGTGCCAAATGAAACTATAAAACAGCAAACATGCAATATATGAGCCATACAATCAGTGGAATTTAAAATGCTAAATTTAGCCTCTTCATCATTAAATAAAAATAGGAAATGAAACAAATATTTAGATATGAAATAAAAAATGATATTGTGGTTGTTGTGATGCAGGTGATGCAGTGATGGTACTTTCTTATTCATCCCATTTTTTGAGCTGTAGATCCAATCCTCTTAATGACGCAACTAATGACCTGGTCAGGGACCCATAATGTCCCTCATTCTTTAGTGAGGGGCGGGCAATACACTGCCACCGTCTGCAGGGAGCCGTTAAGGTCGCTACCTTTGATGGATGTTCACAGACGTTTGCAAAAGTTCATCTTGTTGCTATTCCACTTATCCTGGTCCTGAAGGGTTGTCAGTGGAAGGAGATATCATTTCATCTGTTCCAATCCCCGGAGTGTCTCCTGCTCCAAGAATATTTATGGCTTCGTGAACTGTTGGTCAGATGCAGACAAGGGCGCTGGAAACAGCGAGGCCAAGGCACCAATTATACATCTTATACATCTACACTTCTTGCACACACTCCCCTGTAGTTTATATATGCAGATCGCTTCAGTTCTCCCTTCCCACTAAAAGGACATTCTGTACAATAAATAACACCATAGAAACATGCGTAAAGGAGAAACTTTGAATTTTAGTTCCTAAAGTTCTAGTAGCAAAGATTTAAATCCATCAATGAAGTCCTTCACAACAAAATTGTTAAATATATTTTTAAACGACTGTTCAAACAGCAAAATCACTCACCTCAACCCCCTTGGAACACCTGTGGGATCAGCTTGGATGTGTGACCAACCGCATTAGCCGACTTGCAGAATGGGATGCGGTCGCACAGGCTGGCATCAACCTGAGCAGCATGGGGACGAAATGCCAGGATGTTGTGGCTGCGTATGGTTCTTCCACATGCTACTGACGCCATATTTGTTAAATCGCCAGTGTGTTTTGTTTCCTCAGACTTCCATTATTCAATTCAATAAATGCCAAACACGAGTCAATAACAGAAAAAGCTGTTTGGCTTTGGCAGTTTTTAAGGGCAAAACCCACAAACACATCCCCGCTGCTTAAAAAACTAATAATTTTCCTCACGTGATGCAAATTAACAGGTTTTCCAATTGTATACAAATTATTGCCGAGACATATTATTATAGCAATGAAATAATCATATATACATTTCTAGAGGTGTCTTTTTACCAGATTTCTCAAACCACGTTCGGGTATTTCAGTTTATACTCGCCGAYACAGAGCACTTATTAAATTAGAACATAAACATTACAGAATGACCCTAAAAACACCTTTTATTATTTAGAACAAGAAGACTCTCCATTATAGGCCTACAGCCATTATGGCTGGATTAAATTAAATATACAGCATGATAAACACTGCTGCAACATTTTAAAATAAATACAAATAACAGAAGAAAATCATTAATTTTTATTTATGCAGGACAGCGTGCAATTAAAACGTAATTATAAAAAACATTTGTTGCGTTGCACCAGATTTAGCCTTGGGCTAAATCAGCCTACATCTGTTTGATTTTCTATCATTTTGTATACATTTCTTAACCAGGGAACTGACAAACTTTTCATTTAAAATGTAAACTGTGAGACATTAAATGAAGTATTGATAATGGTATCGACATCGGTTCCAGTTATCGAGGCACTTTGTTAGAGTATACTTGGAAAAATACTGGTGTCAGTACAGATACGATATTGGCACACGACTACAAATTCCTTTAGTTTTTGTGCTAAATATATATTCATTTCTATAGTTATTTGCAAGTGCGTTCAGCTAGCTGTAGCACTGGGGTACTTCCAGATAAAACATCTATATTTCTACACAAATAAGTGAAACTGAAGGCAGTGTAATAATGTCTTTTGTTAGCTTTTCTTCTGTTCTCAGGCTGAAGTTGTTTAAAGATATTTACAGCAGGTAAGATCTTAGTAATTTGTAATCATTTCACAGAACACAGCTTCAAAAGCTCTGAACGCATCCCATGTCAGAGCCTCCTTCCAGACCTGTCTAGGTTATTTTACACTCAGCAAATGGGTGTAGACAGATATAAAACAGTGACATCCCTGCTCTTGATCCTCTCATTACAATTCTTTTGGCCAGGAATCTTATCTAGGCTACGTCTGTTAAAGTCAAATTTTCTATTCTTTTACTGTTTTTTTTTTCCTGTCAAGACGCATCAACTCAGTCACTCTTCAGCTATAGTGTAAATTACAGGATTTATAAACATATTGCACGTGAGAAAAACAAAGTGATTCATTCTTCGTTTTCCCCAGAAAAAAACTCTCTCTCTCTCAAATCAGTCAAGCAGTTTAAAGTCTGTCTTGTCTCATTTCCATTCTAAGACTGACAGCTTGGACCAGAGCACCTCCAGAGAGCGAAGATGGATGYGAGTTCTTCAAAAATAATCCCAGCTTGTCGTGCTGTTAGCMCCCCCCCCCCCCCACACACACACACACACACTTCCTTTCACCACATTTCCTCTCACTCCAATATCAGATAAAGGCATAGAAATGTTGATCTCATATAAAAAGTAGAGTAATGGGTAATTTCTTACGCTCTGCAACCCCTGTGGCACCGCTATCAGCGTCAATCTCTTGAAAATAGCAGCAGCAGTGGGGCTCTGCTAACCTAGCCCACTCTAATCATAAACGTGTGCAGCCTCTATCCCGCTGCTGATTATTACTCTCCACGTAGTATTAAAAAAATGAATCTATTCTTCTCGTGCCGGTGTCTGCATCGGAGCTTCTCCGGTGAGCAGCTGGTTAACAAGACCGATCGGCTCCACTCGTGGATGCACGGCCTCGTGCGCTTCCAAGGAAGAAAGACATTAGCCCAGCTTTATTACAGCTAAACACTGGGTGCTTTTCTCCAGCGTACCGAATGTTGATGTTTGTACAGTGCCTTTCATAGCCACTCTGTCTAACCAATATTCTTTAAACCAAAAATGGAGCAAAAAATAAATAAAAAWCYCTGAAATTCTGCTGCATTTCTTTTCAGTTTAAACTGTTTCAATTCAGTCCCAAAGTGTCCCCAAGCAACTCTTTAAAAATAAGAAACACCTGCAAGAGTTCACCGTGTTCTACCAGAGGTCCAGAGAAACAGCTCAGCGCCGCTTCTGCTCCAATTAACACGTCGAGGGACGATTTATTTTTGCGAAGCATAGACACCCCCCAACCCCCCAGGCGATAAGGACAATTAGATGGCCGAACATTGCTGGTCTTCTGTGACAGGTCTTTCTCCGTCAGCTCAGAACAATCCAGCAGTTCTGTCCAGGGTCTCCATGGAGAAGCCCTGCATTTCATTATCACCCTCCGACAAAAGGCAAAGGCAGATTATAATGTTTTTTGCGCATCTTTGTTTGTGTGTGTGTAAGTTACCAAAATATGTCAAATCACTGGATGTTTTTTTAATAAAATAGTCAAAAAATAATCATTGTATGTATTTCTACTCTATACCTGATGGCCACCATGACTAACTAACCTTCTAAAATTTGGTGTTGTGGGAGCAATGTATTATCTCCATCACATAGTCTAAATCAGGGGTACCCAAACATTTTCCCCAAGAGGGTCAAAATGAGAATCTATCCAGGGCTGTGGGCCAAATGCAGTAATATAATGCATGAAATACAAATACTATTTTAGTAAAGTCCTTTATTTTGTAACAATTAAAGGCACAGTGTGTAGGATTTGTTGTTTTCAGCGACATCTAGTGGTTGAGTGGTTGAATCATCCTCCCTGGTCCTCCACCCCCCACCACCCCGCTTCCAAATGCAAAGTAGTTGCTACGGTGTCTCTCAGGTGTCAAAAAYCTTTGATRATTCCAACCRCGATGTCTACCAGCAGCTTCAGGGCTAGTGATGTTTCAAGTGGTAAGATTATGAGCTTTAATAAGTAAAATTATCCCAGCTACAATGACAGACAACAAATATTACATTTATAATATTACAACTAAAACCATTTTTGACGCCGCCACCGCAGTTTGTCCTTCATGAGCCTTCGTAGACAAGATGGTGATGCAAGATGGCGGCTGCCTGTAGTGGGGACCCGCGACCATGGAGATATAAACAGCTTTTTATAAGGTAAAAATAATAAAACAAGGTCTTTGTCTGCAATGATTAGACATGTTTTTTATTATTGTCATTAGTGATTATCTCAATTTCGGCTAAAAGAATTGACAAAATCTTACACACTGTGCCTTTAAGCTAGCAGCCAATGTGGTGGCCTGCTTTTGTTTAAGTCTGGGCACTTAGAGAAAGTATGCCATATGTTCAAGTTGCAAAGCCTCATGGGAAGTTTCATAAATTGATAAAATAAGAGTTTTTCTAGCATTAAAAAGTGTGCAAATCTACACGTGGGGTTAAATCTAATCTAAATATCCCTTTTTACTTGTATTTCACATTTCATATTTAATCTTAATATATCAAAGATAAAGTCAGACTCATGAGTGAAAACTGTCTGTACTACAGCCCCTTATATAGTCATTGGGCCAATGGATAAAATGACGAAGTGGAAATGCCTTTTCTACATAGGACGACAGGTTACAACCTAGTAACAATGTCAACTGCTGGTGGGCCAAACCAAATGGCTTGGCGGGCCAAATTTGGCCTGCAGGCCCCACTTTGGGCTCCTCTGGTCTAAATGCTGAGGGACTGTGTAAGATTTTTGTTTGAAATGTTGTCAACATGCATAGGAAAAACTTGATGAATAATTGGAAGTTGTAATAAGTTTGCAGAAAAAACAAGTTGATTCTCTTCTAWAACAAGCTTTGTCATCCACTGGAAGCATGCCATATTGATAGGAACATACTGACTCTCTCTTCAAAGCATACAGCTGCACAAAGTGTAAAACACAAGACTGTGTCTGAAGTTCAGTTTATGTTTCACAAAAGTTCCTTCACATTCATTCAATAAGAGCTAGGCCTTTGTATATTTTTTTTAATTTGAGGACTTTTTGCTCCAGTTAAGTGCTGCTACACTTCCCTCCATGGCGTTCAACATGGAGGTAAATGAGCATATGAGGGAGTTAATCAAGAGAATCCTCGCTGCATCTGCTTCATCCACTGTGAAACCCCGGCTCTGCTGGGATCAATGCTCCTGCAAATACACTGCAGGCCTCATCTCCATTTAAAAGTCAGGTGTGTGTCTGTGTGTGTGTGTGTGTGGGGGGGGGGGGGGTACCTGTCAGAACAGACTGTAGAAGGAAGAGAGCAAAAAAACTTTGTTAGGTAATATGTCCTCTTCTCATGAAGAGGAGTCAGAGATTTCTCACTGAATGACAAAAGTGAGACCATTATTTTACATCTCCATTTTTTATTTTATTATTTTTTAACCTTTTTACATAACAATAACACAAGGAGAAGTTCTGAACTGAAAACCACCAACTCAGATCTGAAAAAGTTAGAACTGATTTTACAATAAGACTGCTTTACATACCATTCATGCAGACTTTATTAGAAAAACTAACATGTTGTAAAATGTAAAAACAAATGGAACACAGAATTATAGAAATTGTTGCATAAACATAGTTTAGCAAGGACTTACTTGTGTTTCTAAAAAATGTAAACAATTGCTTTTATAGTTTCACTTTTTGGCATATTGTAACTTTTTAATGAAAGAAATGTAATAAAAACAGTTTAAATGGAGAGTTCAGTTTGACCAAAAAAAAAAAAAAAAAAGAGAAAACTTTTCACTCTCCCTTGCTTCATCATGAGTGTGTCCTCACAGGTCCAACTGCAGGGCGTCATTGTGGCAAAAGTAGAATTTCAGAGTGACTACCCAGAAAAATAATTCTTTGACCTTGTTAACACAAAAGAAAGAGAAATGTCAAATTAAAGGGCAGTTTTTTTTCATTTCTAATCAGTAGAAAATGTAGAAATGGTTCACCACTACACTTTCATATTTTTGTYATCTTGCCTGCTGTTTTTTTAATTTAAACTTTTGGAGAAGAGTTTTATGAAAATAAAAATGACAAGTTCCATTTTTTGAAATTATTACAGCATTATTTAATCATAGGTCAAATATGGGACTCTGGGAGCAAAATAACATTGATTATCATGTTCAGTAAAAGGTAAGATGAAAAATATTAAACCAGGTTGAATATTAATTAAACTTAACTGAGCTGCATGCATCTCTGAACCAGTAGGTTATTAAAATGAAAGAGTGAAAAATCCTGAGCGCTGTCCAAGGTGCTGAATCTCAAGATCAAAATACTATCAAAAGTGCTTTTACAACATAACTTATATCCCTAATATTTCTGCTGAGTAGCAAAGTCGCTGTAACCTCAAGATGCTTACCATCCTCAGTAATGAGATAATAAACCACCACAAGGACTGTTTTCCTCCTAATTAGTCTAATTGTTTTAGATTTTAATGAAGCATGGATGTTTTGGTGGAAGGACTAAAAACATCAAGCCATGAAAAAAACAATATGCTGTAGCTGAAGGGACTAAAGTTCATCAATCTATATTAGAAAGTAGGTCAAAAGCCATTTTATTATTAAAGTAAAGCAGTTATTATAATACTAAAAAATAAAAATTACAATGTGCAAGTCAGTTCTGTATTAAGTCTGTTATTCATTCTGTTGCTTTCCTGTTTATGGTTTCTTACATTTGTTTCCATACTAACTACTTCAGCTTATTTTGAGCTATTTTAGCCATTCAAATCAATCAACTTTATTTGTACCCACAGGTAAATTTGATTGCAATGAAATGAGTCAGCTTAGTTTTAAAAACACACGAGACATATGACATGGACATATAGTAGACTTGACATGATTTAAAAGTGACCAGGTGCTCAATATAAAAATACATACAACTCGCAACTTTAAAAAAACAATGTCTCTGAATAAAAATATAAAACAAGATAAAATCACATGCGAAAATAAAACAATTTAAAAAATTGAATAAAAATTAGATAAGGCATAAAATGCTTTAAAAATAATCGATATTGAAGCTRCAAAATTAAGTTGAGTGTAAAAAAAAGATGATGACAATAGGAACAAAGCTGGTTTCAAAACTCTTAGTTTTAATTTAATTTTGGCACTAAGTATCTGCGACCTGATGGGAGGAGCCTGACCTCACTGTGCAGAGGATGAGACACGCCTTTCAAAATAGATCCAGACAATTTTTGGACCTGCTTGGAGTGCAGGGATTTTAGATTTTGTTGCAGCTCTCCTATTTACTGAACTACTTCACTTTTTAATTTAGGGATTTTTTTTGTTTGTTTGTTTTTCCAGAGAACATTGCTGAACTACTGAAGACATCAGGACATAACAGC